CTGCGTCTTCATCTGCCAGCACCGAGACAGCTGCTGCTGCTGGGGCCCCCGCCGCAGTCAGTGCCAACGCTATACTTGGCATTGTCCTTGGTACCATTACCGGTATCATGATTCTCCTCGGCCTGATCCTCTTCTGCATCCGAAAGCGTCGTGGAAAGAACCAGCAAAACGTGGAGGGCGGCCAGGACCCGAGGGGCATGAGCCCTAGGGGCTTCCCCGATGAGAAGGCTGGACTTGGATACGGCAACGACGATTTCAACTCTGCTCCTCACTTCCGTGGTCATCAGCAACAAGACTCGGCCGGATCATTCTCCTCCATGGCGATTTTGATGGGCAAGGTCAATGGCAACGCACCCAAGTCTGCCGGTGTTGCTCGCAGTGGAAGCAAGCGTGATACATCCAACAGCTTCTTCAAGAGCACCATCGGTAAGCCCCTTCCCCAGATGAATGAGGCACCAGGCCTCGCACCCCCTTCCCGCGATGAAAAGGGTGTTTCGTTCGCCGCCGACGTGGTCGAGCCTCGCCCTACGCCGCGAGGAGCCCCGGTTGGTCGTGCTGGCGAGACGCGCAGAAGCTCTGGCTGGAACCGTTACTGGTCCGGTGGCAGCGCGCTCAACATTCTCGGATTCGGCAACTCTAAGCGTACAACTGTCGATTCCGAGACCTCTCACTACTCCAACACACCCAAAAACCGCATCACGCAAGACTCCGCTACCGTCCCTCCTCTGCACCTAATTACCCAGGACTTGTCCACTGTTCCGCCTATTCAGCACGATGGTCGGCCAGAACTGAGCCGTGTCGTCTCTGGCAGCCCGACGGTGTCAAACTACTCGAACCAGATTCCCTTCCGCGATGGAGTCTCTGGCAAGATCGAATCCCCCCGAAGACCCACGTCGAACGCATCTTCAGGGTACTCGAGCGGTATCCCCGAGAGTGTTCGGGACACATGGGATCCTACCGGCCCCTCAAGGCCCTGGGGAGCGGACCGCGCTCCAAGCAGTGTTTATGCCGAGAGCCTTTACCCTACGTCACTAGCCCCAAGCCTCCCGCAAAGGCAAACGCAGACCAGTGCTCCCAACGGTGTTAGCCAACAGCCGCCACTCGCCCTGGCAGCCACCTCTTCAGACATGAGCTGGTTGAACCTTGGCGAGATCAACAAACAAAACCGTCTCTAGGTTCAATCGACAAAAATGCCTTGAAGCCATGGCGGTGATGAGACACTAATGGCCATTGTGCGACACCTGCGAGCTCCGCTCACGTCCATGGCGCTTCACGACACTCAACATCATGATCCGTCCTTTTTTATACCCAGGTCTTTTCCGGAGCATCGTTTTCGGCGGGGGCCTCTGCATTCCAGCATAGACGGCTTAGAGCACTCAAAAGTCCACTCGTTACATCCCTCACACTTATCACCAAATCTCTCTCGCTACACACTCACAAACACGCACACCCACGTACTATCCCGCGCAAACTCACTCTCGATCCATCTCACTATCCGACGCGCACACTATTTTCATTACTCCAAAACACCTCATACGACCGCAGACATGGCATGTCTCCCGGGCGGCGTAATCACCTTCATCCGCTCGTGAACATGGTTTTCCGTTATCTCACGCTGTCTTCCGTTCTCTCAAATTCTATCTCCTTTTCCTTTTCCATCCTCAGCATCATCTCTTCTGTACATTCCTCTTTTAGAGCGAGACCCGGGACAGGTCGTTCCCTTCGCAGTCAGTCATTTCCGTGATACCAATATCGCAGAGAACTCAAACACCAACAACACAACGCGCATGCCACGCTGTCTGGGTTGAATATGTAATTATCAATTTTTTGTTTACCATATCTAAAGGGGGTTGGGGGAGGCATTTCCATGGTGTTGATGGGTTGTCAAACCAGGAGGGCAACTTGGTGAAATTTTGGCAGTGGCAGTTGTCTCTTCTTTTTCTGTTCTCCAGCTGTCGCCATTTCACATGTTTCCCCTTTCCCATACAGAGGGGATTGATGGCTGATGAATGGGAAATGGAAAAGAGGAGAATTAAGGAGCAATGGAGGGGCGGCGGGGGGAGGAATGTTGTCGATATAACCTGTTTTTATCTTTTTTTTGATGAAAAAGATGAAGGGAAAAAATGGCGGCGCGGAGGATTTATTGTATTATTCACATTGCAACTTGTAGGCTGTTGCACCAATTGATGGCTTGCCAAGTTACGAACAATGATGTTCCCCTTTTGCCTGTTTTGCATCGTGAGATGAGGATGTGCTTTGCTTGCCAACGGCCACTTGGTAAAATGCGATACGTTGGCTAAGGCAGGCGGACGGTGGTAATGAATGAACCATGCGGTTTGATTGGATCTTGGTTATTGAATAGCATAGATGGCATCGGGGGCCTGGTGAGGCTTGCGATGCGAACCTCTTACAGCCTCGTTTGAAAGGACGTATGATCGTTATAGGTACGGAGGGGTGGCCTCGGTTTGAGTTATGTTATTAGTTAAGCTATGTAAGAGAGTCTAGACTCTGGGCGGAGGTTTCGTGGCCAAAATCTCTCAATTGGATGAGGTATCATTTGTGCCATATTTGTTCGCAGCTTCAATTTCCATTTCTCTCTCTCTGGCTCCCTCTCTCGAGTACCTCACTCTCAAGTTCCAACGGCCATACCCCCACACCTCTGCCCTCGGCTCGACTCCCTGCCCCGAGCTCTACATCATCACGAGCTCACCACCGTGTCTACGAAAGGCTGGCTGGCTCCCACTTGTCCAACAAGCCCACATTCCACCCTTTAAACACCCGCTCACTCGGTGGTAATAACCGACTACTCTGCTTCAACCCCTCCGCTGCGGCGACGATGGCCGGAAGAGGGAGGTTGACCTCTTGCACGTCGGACGTCATGGACTCGAGCATGTCGTCTGCTTCGGCTTGGGAGATTTCTTTGTATAGCAGTTTCATGGCTGCGCGTTTTGCGCGTTGGTGAGGAGAAGAAGAAGAAGAAGAAGAGGGGAAAGAAGAGGAGGCGTAGGTGATGTTGCCGTTGAGGATCCAGAGGTGCAGGGCAGGCGGTACGGCGTCGCCGCCATCGCCGGAGGGAGAAGAAGCTAGGTTCTGGGTGGATTGGAAGGCCGGGACGACGACTGATTTGGAGGAGCCTGAGCGGGAGAGGGTCGCGATGAGGGTCGCGGCTAGGCAGTCTGTGCTGGAGGGCAGTGCTGTCGCCGTGGCCGTGGGGTGTGATGTGCTTGTCTGGCATGACACTTGCCATTTTAGCAGAACGACGGAGGAGATGGCTACGTTGAAGAAGCCTAGGTGGGAGGCGCAGGCGGAGCAGGCGATGTTGAGCATCCGAGGGGGTGGTTCTGTGGGACCAGACGCAGAATCGGAGTCGGAGTCTCCTGCTCCTCCTCCAGCTAGGACTTCTGAGCTGGAGGATGCCGGGGGTGCGGCAGCTGATGATGGGAGAGAGAACTGGAGTGGAGAGAAGAAGTGTAAGTAAGGAGAGAAGAGTGAAGACGAAGAGGAAGAGTATACGGAACGGATCGTGACGGTATACGCGAAATGGAAAAGGTATTCGTTCAATGTCCCTCGCTGTTTATCCCGGGGTCTCCGAGGCTCTGGACAACCCCAGTGAAAGCAAGAGGGCCAGCCGTCTAATGCGAACCCAAGTTCAAGACCCAGAAACCATCTTACACACACAAAGGGGCGCAGAGGTTTCGGAGTCTTGCACTTTTGAAAGCACCCCCTGCGCAAGGGCAGGGACGACGGCGTACGTTTTGGATAGTTCATATAGGGGCGGAGTATCGGTGACCAGATCACTGAGTTGGTAGCGTGTTGCTGCCGACATGGCCTCCTTCTTGATGCCCCCGTGGTTTGAGGATACACGGTTATATGTATCGAATAGACGAATCCCAACATGATGTGTTGAAGATGCGAGTGACAAAACAGAGATGAAGAAAGAGAGAGAGAAAGATAGCCGCTTACCTTGAGACCAACACAATCAGCCTCGCAAAACAGAAACGACGTCAAATCTACCATGCCGACGCCAGGCTGCGCGGCAATGGACGAGTTGGCTCCGTACCCGCGCCTAGTCAGATGCTCGTGGTCATCCTTCTCCTTGCCCCCTCCGCTCACGCCGCCGTGCTCATGCTCATCCTCGCGATCCGTGCTAGGCTTATGACAGTGCCAGAAGTCCATCATCTCCGCCCAGTTCTCGCTCGGCAGGTCTTTCCACTCCCCCGCTTTCCCGCCGGGTACGACGACCGCGGCGCAGCGTCTGCACGCGACGGCCGAGCCGGGGAGGAGGTCCCGCGCCGTCCAGGGGACGGGGTCATCTGCGAGGCTGGTGCTGCCGTTGCGCGCCGCTGGGGAGTCTGCTAGCGGGAGACGCCATGATAGCGTTTGCGAGGCTGACGATGATGCTGACGGTGGTGGTGTGGGTAAGGCTAAGGGAGCTCCTGCCTGGGCGAGAATTCTCCCGGGCAGCGGGAATGAGGTTTCTGTGCCTGCGTGGTGGATGTGCAGCGTCTCGCCGTTGGGGGCGACGAGGGCTCTTGTTTGTCCTCCTGCTGGTGAGGAGAGGGTCACTGCGATGGAGAGCTGACGGATGTTTGTGAGGAGTTCTGCGTAGATGGTTGGTGTGTCGTGAGACGACATCGTGGGCAGCGGGAGGTGTGGTTGGGTCAAGGAAGTTTGGGGACGAGTTGGTTGGGTGAGGTCAGATTTAAGATGTGCTGGACTCGGAGTTGTCGCGCTAGGATTTTTGGCTCGCGACCCTGGCGGGGTGGAACTTAGTGCAGCTGGTGCCGGTTCAGCGGCCCCGTCCGTTTGAATTGGACAGCTCCCGCCACGGCATGACTTTTTGACTGATTACACACTTGTGATGCAGCTGAGTAGACTGTGTAATATCGAATTCCAGCAATGTACACTGACATGGGTATAACAAAGATCTTCTTATCGTATGTTACATGAAAACACATCGCTATCCGGAACCCTTGAATACCATCTACCTACAGAGTACTTCACGGGCGGCGAGATGATGCAGTTTGATACCGCTCATAGGCCGGTGCTGGCTCATCCACCACATTGCCCGCGCGAGATTGACCACCCGTAGCCGCGCTGGCATCCGGTATTCCAATAGACGGACCGGTCACAACGTTTGGCTTTACCGGTGCACGCGTCGCGATCGGATCGGCCCTCGAGTAAACCGGCAACCAGATATCGCCATTCGCATCTGTCCTCCGGTATTCTCCGCTATTGCGGTTCATGCGAAAGGAGTTTAGTTCTGATCTTCGTCTCTGACCGCGCACGCGCATGAATGCCTCGAGACGCCTCATATAAGAATGATCTCTGTCGACTTGCGCTGGCACTTCCGCCTCCCTCGCTCTGCGTGCGTCATTAGTCCGCCCCATGTCTGACGGCTCCGACTCTGGCGGGTATCGGTCTGGCTTCCGTAGTCGTTTGCCAATGGCCGCTGCAACCATATACATCGTAACCGCGAGGAAATGACTTGCCGAGGCGATCCACGTGACGACGAGTGTCGAAGTACCGGCGCTGTGGTACTTGAAGACGCTCTCATATTGGGCGAGGATGCCGTCCGCCTCAAGGGCCGCACGGGTTGTGTTGGCCGAGGCGACGAGCAGCGCCGCCCCCGCTAAAGTAAACGACACGGCCAGGAATCGATCACAGTTGGGTGCGCCCGGAACCGTGCTGACGAAGAAGTGCCAGGACCAGAGGCACGCTACAGCCACTATGAAAATGATGTAGGCGATGAACGCGTTCTTGGACGAAGTGACTTTGGACGCCGTCCCGAGGTCAATGCCTTGCGATTCCAGAGCCGGGAAAGTGCCCCGGCTTGACGAATAAGTCGAGCCCCCTCCTATTGCAAGGGCGACGTCGTCCATAATGTCATCGAGGTCGAAGGGGGCACCGGGAGCCCGGCGGATACATGCCTCTCGCCCTAGGTGCGAGTAGCAGTAGCTGCTTAGGTGCCAACTGAAGACCACCGTGGTCTCGCCGGCTGGCCATCGCCGGACATATGCCGCCGACCACTGTCATCCATTGTCAGTACAGGCATATGGAGACGGGAGTGGAAGAGAGGGTGTGGAAGAGAAGGTGGTCCTCCCGACCTCGAGTGCGACTCACAGTAGCGAGGTGAGCCTCTCTGTTATTTAGACCTTTTGACGATCTCAAACCACTCGACTTATTCCATGCGCCGACGCATAGAAAGACGACGAGCGTCACTGTGAGTGCATCAAAGACCAATGCGCACAGAAATAGTAAGCGCCGTACCGCTCTCTCTTGAGTCTGGTTGAGCGTGTACTTCTTGCCCTGGCTAGGACTGTCATCTTGAGCAGATACGTTCATATCGAGGAAACGCGGTGATGCTGCTATACATCCTGGCTCGGGAGGAAAGAGAATCGGACCGTCGCCTTCGCGAATAGTGAGATATATCTTTCGTCTGGAGACATGATTGAAAGTTTCCACTACACAGCGGTGAAGAGGCAATCACAGAGTCTTTAAGAGCGCAAAAACGATATTCAGCCCAGTGCCACACCCGATTGAGCAGGTGATGTCGCTGCCGGGGTTCGTCGCCCAGTGAGTATGGCAGGCCGAGTAGGTTCATGCGGCACAGCAGTCTGCCGAGCTTGATATTTCAGCCTGGGATCTTGGCAGCCATCCCCTTTTGAGGCCAGCAATCTCGGTACCATGGCGAATTGCCTTGACTTGTGAGGGCTGAGTGAGCGCCTGCTCGGTACTGGCGCCAACGGTGTGTTTCTGGACCATCATTGAGTAGGAGAAGGCGACCTGTTATGGGTTTCCATTGTTGCAGGTGGCAAGGAAACAATTCGATCACCCATGTTGGGCTGATTTGTAGCAATGAGCTGCGATGGCTTTGGCGCCAGCTGAGAGCTCGAGTGACATCTAACGGCTTGTTGAAAGGAAAGGACGAACGGCCGGGAGTGCACAGACCAGACCTTGTCGTGCTTACCTTGGCCCAAAGTGGGCTAGCTTGAGAGCTCCAAGGTCCCTCTTCTCAGAATTCCCGAATTTCACCAGCCAAACTTCTGGATCCAACACTGCGATAATACCACTGGCGACAGTTCCGAGCACCCTCTGGTCAAATAAATCCAAGCAGCCGACGATCCAATTCTCCACACGAATACCTACCTCATCTCCATACAGAGTCTTCTGCACCTTCAGACCTCGACATCTCCGCAGCTATGGCAACCCTCGGAGGCTACCTCAACAGTACATCCCCCCAAAACCACCAACCTTGAGTGCTGCTTTCCCGATGACATACTGACCATCCTCTCCCTAACAGAGAAAGTCCTCATTGTGACGTCGGACTCACGAATCTTGGTGGGGACATTGGAAGCTGCGGATCAGTCCACGAACCTCGTAATACCCCTTCCCCTGCCCCCTTCACAACCCTCTCTCGAGTCTTCTGAGCTGCACCCAGCTAACACACATCTTGCGCCCCAGGTTCTCAGCAGTGCCCAAGAGCGAGTCATCCAAACCCCCGAGAGTGGCGAACCCTCTGTCGAAGTGCCCCTCGGCCTCTATCTCGTCCGAGGCGACAATGTCTGCACGATCGGCCTGGTAGACGAGGCGCTAGACGAGAGCATTGACTGGACCCAAGTCAAGGGTTCTGCTATTGGAGGAACCAAGCACGTATGAAAGCCACGCATACATACAGCAAAAGCAAAACAAGAGCAGAGAGATGGTCCTCGAGAATGAGAGTGACACATCGAGTCACGGGATGTTTGATTACGAGCGGGATACCCGAATGTTGGGAAGGACATGAGATTGCACTGCTGCCATTGAGACAGGCAGGCAGGCAGACAGGCGCGCGCGCATTTCATGCACATGTGCACATGCGCATGATCACACACCTACACACACAAAGAACAACGGCGTTTGCACATATTTGGGGGTTGCTATAGAATGATATTGGGTTTTCCTACGGGGTATGCGCCTGCCTTTCTTCTTCTATCCAGATCTCTCCTCTATGCTGCTACAGTCTCAAAACCATGTTTGTGCTGACACGAGACATCGACAACAAAAGAGCCCTCACGCCCACACACATAGAGAAGGTGGTGGCTGAAAATATACGTCCCTTGTCTCCTTATCTTTATCCGAAAACTCTCTTCATCAGGTCTGGGGCAAACAATTCCTCGCCGGGGGACTCAACCATCCTGTTGACCCTGTTGCCCCTGCTGGTGCTGAGCCAGCCGCCAGTGTCGCCGGGGACCTCGGCCAGGGTCAGGACGTCGACGGCATCGCCCGTCTCGCTGGCCTCGAGGGCGGCCTCGTTGTACTTGACGCGGAGTCTCCGGTCGATGACGTGCATACCGCGCGTCCACTGGCCCGTGGTCTCGATGCGGATGTCCTCCGGCTCCGCGGTGGCCTTCCACTTGGGGTCGGACTGCGTCAGAAGGTACCAGACCGTCAAGGGGTCGTGCAAGGAGAGACCGGGCTCCTGTCCGTCGCCCTCCATCTCGATGATCTTGTCAAAGCACTTTGACATGAAGTGGTTGACCCACTGGCCGAGGGGGCTTCCGGACGCCACAATGGGCTTGATGGTCTCGGTGAAGTAGTTCTTGCGGAGCAGGTGCGGAGTCGTGATGTCGAGGGGAAACAGCGTCAGCTTGAGCTTCTTGGACAGCCTGGCCGGGTAAGGGGGCAGGGACGACTTCTTGTCCGAGATGGGCGGCATAGTGGAGCGCGGGGTCGGGGAGGTCAGGGCGAAGACGCGCGCGGCGGCGACGGCGTCGGCGACGGTGTTGAACTCGCCGTGCGGGGTGATGTTGCCCTCGACGTGGACGGCGCCGCCCATGACGCAGAGCTCCTTGACGCGGAGGAAGGTTTCCGGGTCCTCGGCGGCGGCGAGGGCGACGTTGGTCATGGGGCCGACGACGCAGATGGAGATGGTGTTGGGCTCGTTCTCCTTGAGGATGCGCAGGATCTCCTTGTGGGCGACCTGCTTGGCCGGGGTGAAGTACTGGTTAAAGGGCGAGGGGTCGTGGTCCACGTTCTTCTCGGTGTGGAAGAGGGACTGCCAGCGGTCGTCCGGGGAGAGGTGGGGGTGCTTCTCGTGGACGCCGTGAAGGCCGTCGAGTCCGTCTGGAGGAGAGTCAGGAGATGGAAGCTGGGAGAGGTTGAACCGAGGAGTGTGTCTTACGGAAGTAGTCGGCGGCCAGCTCGTCGTCTTCCAGAGCGTGCTCGGCACCGACTGATACGATGGGCTTGTAGGCCTTGAGGGACTCGAAGCCCTCGGGCTTTCCATTCTCCTTGCGCCATGCAATCTCCTTTTCCAAGACGTGGAAGAGGGCAACGACGTTCTTCAGGCAGCTTCATCGTAAACGATTAGACCAAGGGTTTCTAATGTTTATTTGCGCAGCATTAAACTCACCTCTGGAGAGGCACGTTGCCGTAGGTAACTGAGATCATCATGACCTCGAGCTCCTCAGGGGAGGCCGAAAGGGCCAGGAGCATGGCCATGACATCGTCAATACCTGGCAGAGATGTGTAAGCCTACTTGCACATCTCAGTACTTTTGGGGGGTTCGCTCATTTATATCTCACCTGGGTCGGAATCGATAATGACGCGGTTCTTGGGAGCCATGGCTGCGATGTTTGATTCAGAAGAAATCTCTTATTGGGTTGAAAAGTGTTCAATGAAGACGAGAATGACTTCGTCTCAAATTACACAGTTGACTAAATCACTTAAGAAAGCTGGGGAAAACATTAGTGATATAGGAAACCAAATGTTGATGGGGGGAGTGGTGGGGGGAGCGGACATCTGCGGGCACGTGAGCTAAGCTTGAACGGAGGTGTCCGGTCTCCGCCTGTCTCCGGTATAGACACCTTGAAATAAGCAACCCGGCGCCCCGGGAGATGTGATGTGGCCTTGACGGTGTGACTCCGTCGTTCCTGCCTTCTCGCCGGGTCTTTTTTGTGTCAATAGGAAGGGCGTCGGTGTCGCATTGAGAAGTTGGCATAGTTGAGACGGGCGGGCGACCGAGCGGTCGAACCCCTCATCGTTGGAAGCGTCAAATGCGCCGCCGTCGAGGGGGATCAACGGTGGGGTTGTGGTTGTTGCGGTGCAAATGATGGAGAGAGACATGACACGCTAAGCCGTTTTGAGCCACCGAGATCCAGTTGTTGTCGATAAGCTTGAGGCAGGTCGCTGCGGGAAACCTTGGAAAATAGGGACTTTGGGGGACTTTGGGGGCATTGGGCACCTGAGGTAAGGTAGGCGGGTAAGCTGCCCCCAGCTCTTATCGGGAAAGCCAAGGGAAAGGAATCTGACATGCGGCAAGTTGCAACTCTGGACCTTGCAAACATTGGATGAGACGTGGGAAACGGAAGGGCCTCGGGAAGTTTACTTGGATGAGGGTACCTTACTCACGTGAACCTACCTAAGGAAAGCTGTCTGCAAAAAACCTATTTTTAATTCTACAATTTTTGCTTTTCGGTTTGACAGGCCGGGCCCGCGGGATATCAAGGTAACCTCCGAGTCCGACAAGTCTCCAATGACATTGTTTGGCGGTCGTCAATTGACTTGATGCCCTGACAGCAAGCACTGTGACCTTGACATCGTTCCGCCCAATCACGGAGAGTTCTTATGAAGGGAAGTCATCACAGTCACGTGTGAGTGACACCTTCCAGGTTGGTGATTGCTCCCTTGTCTTCCATCAGTCGTTGCCTCCCAAACACGTGACCTGTCCCCAATTTTCAAGTTCTCCCGAGTCCGTGCTGACAGCCGAGCCCCAAAAGAAAAGGCGGGTCCACGTCCCTCAACCCCGTGGAAACGCGAAGCTGTCACTTTGGAGATGCAGGAAATTACCTAACAGCACCCTGGAGATAACCTCATCTACCTCCATTACCTACCCTTACCTCACCTACCTCCCTTGCTTAACTCGAGGAAAGAAACATCAGATCGCTGAGAAGAGCAGCCGCACAGCAAGTAAGTGCAATTTTCTCCTCAATTGTTCTTCTTCCTCGTCGCATCTCACATCACACACTCCCTCGTCTTTGCCTTTCATCTTGCTGCTTCATCTGAGCTCGGCCAGCCAGAAACACATCCCTGGGGACCTGCGGCAAAAGAGGACACCAATCCTCATACGCAATTCCCACTCCTCGAGACTCGGGCCCGACGCAGGTCAGGGTTTGGTGCAGCACCTTACAGATTGGATACCTGGAGCACATAGCAACACCGAGCAGCCGCAACAGTAGCAGCAGGTTACCCGTGGGACCTCTCCAGCGGTCCAACCTATTCCCTAGGTCGGCTTTTGCATCCGTGGCATGAACCCCGGGCGCTTGCCTCAGCCAAAAACCCCCATTTGCTACTGGCTCTAGCCTCTACACCTTGGACCTGCCCTGGACCACTGGCGGTACCGCAGGCACAGTTTGCTGAGAAGCCACCTGGTAACTTTTTTTTTCGGCCTGTCTCTCCTTGCCAAGCTACCTGCATCTGAACACGACATCCAAGCCGTCTTTCAACCGCGTGGTCGAAACGCCTCCTCAATCGCCCTTCTTCCTTCTTCACTTTTACCCAATTCTTGTTGTTTCTCCCCTTCAACAAACCCACCAACCCCCCGAGCATCACCGCTCTCACCTTGCCTTTCATCCTCAAGCAACCCATCCATTGTTGCGCCCACATCTTCCCTTGCGCACCTTCCACCTGTATGTTCTCCGATCGGCGCTTGCCCCAGACATCTCGGATCATCTGCTCCCGTGTGCAGAGCCCAGCACAAATTGGACTCCATTGCTAACTTGTCCATTATCCAGTCATCCGAATCTCTCTCTCTCCACAACTTCTCCGTCAGTGAGGCATCGAAGATACACCGTGACCCTCAACGGTACCCTGAGCTCTTGCGGCCCTTGATCCGACAAACCGTGGTCTTTGCTGTTCTCAACTGCACCACGTTGCATAATCTACCATACCCCTTAATACCCATCTGGTAGCGTTCCTGCGCCATCCACAATCGCAACAATGACAGTCTCCGACTTTCTCAACACCCAGACCGTGGGCGGTTACCTTGTCTGCTTCCTCGTCGCTGGTGGCTTGATCTACAACTACTCTGGCAACAAGAAGCCTGCGCAGATTGCCAAGACTGCCAAGGCATATGTTGAGCCCAAGAAGGACACCAACGCAAAGAAGCAGCGAAAGGCTGCCTTTGCTTCACAAAAGCCCGAGGAGAAGGCTTCCACGAGCGCAGTCGATCCCTCTAGCACATGGCTGAGCAATGACCCTAAGGAGGAAGCTGATAATGCCGATTTCGCCAAGAGGATGGCCAGTGTCAAGGAGGGCAAAAAGTTTGATGGCAAGTCGGCTGCTGATGCCAAGAAGAAGAAGACCAAGTCCGTCAAGCAATCGCGTGCTGCCGAGAAGAAGCCTGTCGAGGTCACCGAGGAGGAGGAGGAGGAGCCCGCCGCTTCCTCTGCCCCCGCCGTCGAGGCTGTTGAGGAAGAGGAGGAGAGCTCCCCTGCCGCTTCCCCCGAGGTCACCCCTGCCGACCCCAGCGGCGTCAATGACATGCTCGAGCCCACCGCATCCGGCCCCTCCGTCCTCCGCCTGACCGGCACCGATAAGGAGAAGCCCAAGGCCAAGAAGCAGAAGGCCCCCGAGCAGGCTGAGACCAAGAAGCAGCGCCAGAACCGCCAAAAGGTTGAGGCCAAGAGAGCCGCCCGCGAGGAGGAGGAGAAGGAGCGCAAGGTCAAGCTCGAGAAGCAGCGCCGTACCGCTCGCGAGGCCGCCGGCATCCCCGCCAAGGATGGCTCCCAGTTCATGGCCAGCGTCAACGGCAACAAGTCCGCCTGGACCGCCGGCTCCCCTAACGGTGCCTCTGCTACCAACGGCACCTCCGCTGCTGTTCAGCCTCTCGACACCTTCGATGCTCCGGCTCAGAACGGCACCTCTGCTGCCGCTCCCGCCCAGACCTCCAACAACTGGATCTCTTCCCTTCCCTCTGAGGAGGAGCAGATCCAGCGCCTCAAAGAGGAGGACGAGTGGAACACTGTTCCCGCCAAGTCCAAGAAGTCCAAGAAGGAGAACCGCTCCCCTTCTCCCGAGGCTGCCAAGCCTGCCGCTGCCGCCGCCGCCGCCGCCCCGGCTCCGGCTCGCCCCATCGCCCAGGCCGTTCAGAAGCCTGCCTCCAATGGCAAGGCTGCAAAGCCCGTCACGTCCAACTTTGGATCCTTCTCCGCCCTCAGCACCGAGGAGGAGGAGTGGGATGTCTAAGCGGTCACTACACCTACGATTGTCATTCTCCAGGATATTCCGCCCTCCCCAGATGCGCTCTTCTCAACTACACCATCGTCCTCGCGCCGTCTGGATGTCACTTGTTATTTTAACTGTACAATACTTCTTCCTGGAGTGCGGCACACCTCAAAACTCTCTCTCTCACACACATGCAATCCTTTTGACGCCATGAAGAAGACGCCAGCATTGGTTCGATCACGCTTCCGCGAGACGGCGGCCTCATCGAGTAAAGGCGACATGGCTTTGCTATCGCATACACGCAAACAAAAACGATCTCGGCCACGGCATGAGATCTTGGAGTTGGGGGATTACATTGGCCAGCGGGCTGAGTGATTTGCACATGCTTTTCTTTTTTTCTTCTTCTTCCTTTTCGGCCTCGAGACCAGCCAGCTATTGATGGAGGGGGGGGGGGAAACGAAGGAGAGAGTGACGCAGGATCACGATGTATACGAGGAAGTTGAACAAAAGAGAGAACGGGTCTTGAGCGGGAAGAGGAACTAACAAAATATGAAACCTTTCCTTTAGGGCAGATTGATTGGATCACATGGGAAATGGCCATGCCCCTACAGTCGTTGTGTGCTTTTTTCAGCACAGGTTCCCGCCAGATAACTTTTCAATGAGTCTTCTTTCCCACCAGTAAAAAAAAAAAAAGACCACGTCCGTTTCCCAGGCAGTCGTGACTTGTCTATGACTTGTTTTGTTGTCATGTTACCGGGATGGTGCTGGATCAAGTGATGACATGGTAATGTGCATCATGTTATTTCTCCACGTTTATTTTTATTTTTATGTCTTGCAGTGCACATGCTGGCGCTCCCCCACCTCGCTATTTCGTCACGATCTCTGCCCACTAAGAGGAGCCTTTATGCGTTGTAGTAGTTGGATCGTCCTTTGATCGAAGCTAGGAGGGTGATCGTGGCCGGGGGTGTTGGTCGGGGGGCATGTGAGAAGAGAAGTTGGAGTCGGCGGGCTTTCCGTGTATTCCCCAGCTGGCTGACGCTACCCACCGCCCGCTCCCGCGACCCAAGGTACAGCGCATCTTTTGCTAGCGTTGGCGGAGGGATGGGAGAGGGTGATTTTGGGTTTTCTCTGGTACTTTTTTTTTTTTTCAAAAATGGTGAAGGGGGGAACGAACGGTCGACAGATCTCGGGTGGTGGTGCACCTGAGTTTGCCGGGTTTGTGGAGTTGGGTTTTGGGGCCTTGACCGCTCTGTGGCTTACGATGTATCTGGTGGAGGAGAAGGAGGAAGAGGAGGGGGTGTGTGTGCGAGGGATGGCTTAGCTGCGATTCGGGTTCTAGACATGCATTCGCGTGAGTAGATAGGATGCTGGCAAGTGAGATGCGTGTTCTAGATAACGTGATAATTAAGAGCTCCCCATGTGGCCAGCTGGTTAGTTTGAAGCGGGATGTTGTTCCCGAGGCGGTGGGAAGGGGACATCGCGGCATCACGGGTTGACGGATAGACTCTGAACTTTCCAAGGACTTTGAGCTACTAATGTCGGGTAGTGAGTGCAGTGTAGTTGAGATCTTGGTATAGGTATGCTCGTGGGGGTGACTTGCTCTGCGGGACAAGACGACACGCAGAGGTGAGACATGCAGTTTTCACATGTTTTGTTCATGGCTACAAGTGGAAGATGGGAAGAGAGGTTTGTTGGATCCCATCAAGAGGGAGAGAAACGGAGTAACGAAGCGATGGGGAGAACGGGAGGAGGCGCTTATGTCTCTTACGGTCTCCTGTCAGAATACGCTGCGAGTACAGCCCGGGTATGGAGAGTTGCTTGGATCAAAGTGTGCGAGAAGAGTAGAGGGCAGAGGATTGTGCGATGCAGATCCCGGCCCAGTTAACGTTTACGACTTGTGTGCGGCGAGATCCGTGTTGCTTACAATGGCCCGTTTCGTTGGCTGTGTGCGTTTCTCTGTCCTGATGTGTTATGGACCATAGTATTCAATAAGTCAAGCCGAGACGGGTTGGGCTGGCGTCTTTACGAAGTCTTGAGGAGGAGGTTCTGTTTCTTCGGCGGAGGTGCTGGCAGAATGTCATGTTTCCCTAGCCGACCTTGGTGCGTGCCGTATGTGATCCAGACGAGGAAATATCAGTTGGTATTGTTAACGTGTTGGGATCGAATCGAACCTCTTCACACCCTCTTGGACAAGATCCGATAATCAAGGGAGTCTATTCGAAAGCCTTTCCCTACGAGAGAACACGAAAGTTACTCACGTTTATGCTGGTGGGGGTCTTCTTGCCTTGGTTGCTAGCTAGCCATTTGGAGGGCCGCCTCGAAAGGTTGATTTGACTTTTTCGAGGAGATGGTTGTCGTTCTTCCACATGATAGCTCCCGACGTCGGTGAAGTGGCATGGGAACGTATCCATGTCCGGTTGCCCATTGTGGAGGGGAGCACGGGTAACATTTACCTGGTGGTTTTGCAGCACTGACAGTGGCAGTTCATCCGCGGGAATACTCACAACTCTGGCGGGATCTACTCCCTGCGGCCACGCTTGCGCATCCGCAGGCGATCAAAACAGTGGAGATTTCCCTATATCCTATAAAAGAACTCGGGTGTATCATACCGTAGTATTGTGGCGGACGGGCGGTCGATCAAAAAGAAGCTACCGAGCGTTCGTTGCGCGTTTGCGTACGCATTGAAAGCAAATCAAGGGTCCAGCTGCCGTGCAACTCGTTGCACCCGTAGAAACCGGGTACGCGAGGAGAGTATCCGCAGTGGTAGGAGCTGGAGGGGCTGAGTCGAGTGAGGTGGAACATGAGAGGGGGACAACGGAGCATGATGATCGATAGGCGCAGTTGTTCGATACTATCCCTCTCAGCAAGGGACCCTCGACGAAATGCATTGGTAGTAACCACCGACACTGACGGTTAGGTTAGGTATGTAGTTACTACGTAGGTTAGGCTAGAAAGTGTGGCAGACATGAAGTAATCAACCATTGGCGGTCCACCAGACCTGTCAATCAGATCAAAAGCGGATCATCAGTAATGCCCAAAACCTCAAAGGGAGCCGGCCAAAGCTTGAGTTGCAAATGGCATTGAGAGTTGAGAAATCAATCAGACCATTGGCACTGCCCATGGATCAGGGAGTGCTACAGGCGGAGCCGACGGCGGCGACGGCGCGCGCGCAAGGAAAGGAGGTGAGAGCCGTCGAGGTAAAACCTCACCTAGCGCGCGAAACGCTGAGGCGTTTTGTGGTGTAGCCTGCCTCACAATGGTGCAGCGAGTGAGACAAGACTTGACAGAAGGATACAGAAGGCAGCGTGCGCAGGCAAACGTGCGCTAGGGACGCCGACTCCCTACTCCCCTCGGAGGCTTAGCAGAGAGGGTTTAGACCGCCGCCCGTGGCCGTACGCCATGGTCAAGTTGAGAACAACCAGTGATCATTGCGGATTGGTCGTAGGAGGGGGGCTTGAGACATCAACGGTGCTGGCTGGACGAGGTGCCAGTCGCAAGTTGCCAGTTTAGGGGATGCGGCGTCCGCGGCGTTGTTGGGCGGCGGAGGCCGTCTTGTCGGACTTTTCTGGTGGAAATGGGAGAACAAGATTGAACAATTTCGTTTTACGGGATATCGTGTTGTGGCAGTCCGGTTGATGGTTCGGGGTCCGGGTTACTGAGCTGAGCAGAAAAGTGAAATTAAGGCCGGACACTTCGACGCTTCCGGGTCAATTATCCATGACCAAGTTGAAGTCGGTGGTAAATGATGACATATGGATCATGGACTGATTGCTCGCGCGATGGGCGCCATGGAGAAGAAATCCCCCTCTAGGAACCAATCCGTCATGACCAAAGGCGCGACGCGGCGCAGATTGGCCGAGTTGCAGATTCATGGAGCTCCGTCCCGCTTCCGGGCCCCCATAGCCTGTAGGCCGTGGTGGTACGGCGTAGGGTCGGGCTGGCAAGACTTGCGCGGCATTGGGCAATTGGTTTGTCGGAGGGAGGGTTGCGGTAAATGTGTTCATAGTCGTGGTGTGTGGTGCATGTGCATGGTATTCAAGTTCGAACACTGGTCAATCTGGTTCCCCGAGCCTAGCACTCTCCCATTCCTTGAGGGGTCGGGTTGTCGTGGAGAGGGAGGGGAGCTTAACAGGGTCCATAGATGATAGTGGCATAGAGGGAGCGAATGATCCGACCTAGGTAGGTACCGGGTACATCGGCTCTCCCACCTCAGATAGCGTAATGCGTAAAACAAGTGAAAGTCTTGGCCGATTGAGATCTTCCGTCCTTTCCTTGCGCCGCCCCGATATGAACGGGCCTTTGCTGGTTGTTTGCAGTGCTCGTGGAGGACGATTTATCAAGAGGAATGAGGAACAAGCCAGTTGCAGACGTTGAAGGCGCGCGACAAGACGGATCATCGGCCAAGATGGGACTGGCAGGCTTGAGGTGGTGCGTTGCGTTGGCAAGTCTACCTCGGTCCACGCGCGTCTTGGACAGAGACAGTCTGACTGACAGACAGACTCAGAATTCGAGGATTCGGGCGAGAGGCGGTGGGAAACAGAGCACGTTGGACGAGGAATCGTTGCGGTGCAATGCAATGCGCTCCGTGGGGCAGCGGCACCTTTGTCTGTCCGACTTTCCAGGTTGTCCGTCTTGACCTTTGACTTGGCCGCCAGTGACGCGAGGTCGGGTAACCATGCGCAGCAAACAGGCACACTCGATTCGCATTTTGATTCGACTTGCATCGTGTGGGACAACGGGCGATGGATGAACCAAACAGCGCACAGCAGCCAGACGCAGGCACGAGGCACAGAGCTGCCCCGGATTGGCGTTTCCTGGGTACTTGGCGTTTCCGGAGGGGGAAGGCGTACTAAGTACCTTGTTCTCGTTCTGGTCTGTTCAATTGCAGCCTTTGCGGGACGAGACGCAGCTTGGAACTGTGTAACCGTAATGTGTACGTGTACAGCAGACGACGACGACGACGACGGTTCGCAGTGTTGTGAGTCTTGTGGAATGGAGGCGCATTTAGATGCATGGAGACGACGACGGGTCCGCCCAGGCGCCTCAGACAGGTCCAACTTCACACCATTGATTGCAATGATTGGCATGCCCAACTTAGATTGAGCCATATCTGGTAGGCCGGGCTGCGTGCGTGCTCGATCCATAGTCGGGGGTGTCACGGTGTCCAGGACCCGTCCGCAGGCCGTGGAGCGCAATTTCTCGCGATCATCTGGCGTAAAGTGGACGTTCGTAAAGCGTCTGATGAAGATGCGCTCTGCAATCAAGCCAACGACTCAGGCGTTGGAATGAGATATGGTTGATACATTTTCCGACGCGTATCCAATGTTCCAAATAGCAGGGAGAAGGGTGACAGATAGGTCAGTAGAGTTTAAGGGATCCGAACTGTCGGATCCGATCAATTTGGATATCGGAGGTGGACTCAAAAGAGGAAGATGAGGAGAAGACGAAGAAGAATAGGGAAGAAGAGGACAGAGGGACGCAGACAGAGGGAGGGGGTGTATGAGGTAGAGGTAGAGGTACATGCACCAGGTACGGAGTACACAGTACTTGTCTTCGCTTCGTGGCTTCCTCTTCCTCTCCCCTTACCCTTCTTTCGCAGGCTTGCCAGGCCCCCATGCCCCCCGTGTCCCTCTCTCAAATCGCTTCCCCCGGTTGCCGTCGAGAAACCCACAATTTCCCCCCAGTCCACGCCTCTAAATTAGTACACTGTACCTTGGACTCTCGGTCTCCATGCGACTGGTACCTCCACCCACTCCCCCCTTCATTGATTGCCCGATGGGAAAGAAGGAGGGAGAGGGAGGCCGAGGAGGAGGGACCTGCCCACCTGTAGAGAGGAGAGACTGGGCGAGTGTGAAAGTACGCAGTAGACGCTACTTACCTTGTCGTCCTTACCTTGCGCCTCCCTTTTTCGAAACGTCGTCTCTCTAAGCACCTCACTCACTTCAACTCCATTTCGCCTTCAATTCACCCGTCTCAATTTTCCCTCACTTCTTTCCGCTCTCTTTCTTGTCTTTCCCCCCCTTCCCTCTCTTCTCCCTCTTGAATGTCCAGTGTGTCCGTGTCTCAATTCCTCATCCCAAACCCGCCCGATACCGCCAATCGAATCCATCGCCATCCTTCCATGTGGTAGCGCAATAGCAAGAGACAGAGAGACAACCAGCACCCTATACACACTCTCGAGAGGAATATACCGCCATAGGCCAACGTCTTGTCGCCCACGCGACCCAAGCCTCCGAGCCACCCTCATCTTCAACCTCAATCATCTGGTCCTCCCTACTTTCTAAACAGTTCCGTCCGAGCCCGCCCGCCCGTCCATCCATCTTCATCCGCCACTCCGACCGCCGTCTTGCGCTACGGTCCTATTATCTCACCCCAAGGGCCAAGGTACTCTGCAACCTCTGCCTTTACTCGCCTACTGAGGTGCATTGCAAGTTTCTTTTTTAGTTCCTGCCAGTTGGATTGGACTGCAGACTGCACCGGTTGCTGTCACGCCTGCGCCTGTGCTTCTTCCTCTTACACGCACCCCCTTCGAGAATAGCACCCGCCCAGGACATCACCCAACCTTGAAACCTCACTCTGTCCTCCGTCCTCCCAACACCAAACGTCGATACTCCCAGTACCTCGAGGGGTCGCACAGGCCGAGCCGCTTTTAAAGCATTTCGCGCCCCCGTACCGAAACTGTGTCTTGGGCTCTGCGCCGGTGATTCACTTCAATGGCGCTTTAGACTTCCCAAGCTCCCTCTGGCGCTGGCACGCGGTCCTTTCCCTTCCCTGAGCAACTCATCTTAGGTTCAAAGGCGCCGTATCCTACCTTACCGTCCCGTTCCCGTACCTCACCTTATCCTGGCTACCTTGAACATCCGCTTCGCCTGTTTGGACCACCTTTCCTCTTAGTGGTCCCTGTCACTTTCCTCCCACTTGGACACTTATTTCCTCCCCGCGAACCACTCGATCCAACAAGTCGACACCCCGTCTATATCACCCCCCTCGACACCCACAATCAACACACACGCACACACACACACACCACCTACCTCTTCGAACACTCCCCGAATATATCCTTTGCCTTCCATGTGTACTAGAAATACCGGGCACCGAATACACTCCAGACCATCTCCCCACGCCGGGGTTACGGCCATACCGCAAACATGTCATTACCAGTCGCCATCCAGTCGGCGATTTTCTACTACCTCGCATGTACACCATGTAACGAGATGAAGGCTTTCCGAAAGGCCAAGAAGAAGGCCAAGGAGGATAGGGAGGTGAAGAGGAAAATAGAGATGGAGCAACCTGGACTGTACCGTCATCCGGACCCCTTTCACACAAACCCATTTTGGGCCGAAGAGATGGCAGCAGGACCACACCTACCCAAAAAGTCAACCAACAAGAATTCGAGCCAGAGAGGTCTGGCGAGTGCAGGCCGGACGAGCACAGCCGCGAGTTTTGGCGGAGCAAGCACTGTTGCCGAGAGTACTAGCCCTGCGACTCCGACAATAAGTGCCTCAACGGCTGGTCGAAAGCTGTCCGGCGAGGGTTGGAATAGAGAGCTGTACCAACGAGAGGATGAGGAGCTTTGGGGTCACAACTTCACCGGCATGGGTCACAAGCTGATGGACAACATCGCAAAGGCCGGAAACACGGCCGGACGCTACATGGAGGAGAAGTTGGGGCTGGAGAAGCCCATCACCGATGAGGACCGCGAGAACTTTTACCGTACACCGAGGAACCCGCCCGTCAACGAGTACCACCCGCCGATAGTAGGAAGCAAGCCCTCCCGTCCGGACGCTCTCAAGTGGATGCTACAGCCGCCGCCCCCTGCCAAGCTTATGGAGGGCCGCATCCCCGTCGCCAGAACCCAGAGCACCAGCACAGTTGGAAGCAGGAGAACAATGGCGTCTGAGGACACTCCTTTGGACAGGCTGGTCCGTGAAAAGGCGTTGAAGAAGAAATTGCGGCAACAGGGAGAAAAGCTGCCCTTGGAGGAGACACCTTCGGAATCGGAGTTGATCGACTCACTTATCGGCAGGCGGTCACGGCGGACAACGGTATCGAGCAGGGGAATGTCTAACCGTAGCCGCAGCCTTTCGCTAGATTCCGAAGTATCTTCAGACGGCGAGTTGGTGGAACGTCGGCGCATCGCCCGTGCTCGACGTGTTCCCATGACGCCCGAGGAGACCTCTTCAGACGAGGACGACTTTGTCCAGCACCGCACATGGGATTCGTTGGGAAAGTCGAGTCCTCCCCGACGGCCCAAGCTGGAGACCATTAAGAGCTCCCGCTCTAACTCCAGGCAGGCATTAAAGGCACGTCCCAACGGCACGAAGCCAGATGTTGCATCCAAGGACAACTCTGACGTCACGCCCAAAGCGTCTGCCAACCCTATCATCAACCGCACCGCGGATGAGAACACACCTACCACTGTCACCGCTACCACAACGGTATCATGATGTTGGACACCTGCCACGAACTAGGTCGAACAGACAGCCGACCAGAACACACTTTCTCTAGTTGTCTCTGGAATTCCCCGTCATCATTCGACGAGGGTTATCTACTGCATTATTTACTCCCAGAGAGGGGCATAGCGTTCATGGGAAGGAGCATTTGCATTTTTCGGAAATGGGATTCGGCATTGAGGCGTTAAGAGGCGTGCTGCCACAAAAGCAAGAGAGCAAGCATACGGTGGGCAATGGGGTGTTTTCAAAAAATAGGGTCTGGGGTCTTTGGGTTGGTTTTGTTCAAAAGAGGACGAGATCCATGGCTTGTTTGATATTTCTTCATTTCATCTCTTCGTTTCCACATTTAACACATTTGGCCGCACACCAAGATGCGATGAAGCCTTTACTTCTTTGCTTTTACGCCCCTTTTTCTTTCCTTTCTTATTTTCCCTTTGTCATGGCATTACTGGCAAGTAGCACTAGGAACATGACGGGTATTATTGCTCTGTCCGAAATCTTGTGTGCCCCAACGTTGAATGATCTGATCCGTTTTCCTTTTCGTTTGATTCAACTCCGTCGACGGTGACCAACGCCTCATATAACTGCGAACCTCGTATGCCATCCAGCCTCTTCTATCGTGCTCCTACAGATGCATTCCGCCGTCCTCGTCGTCATCGCCGAGACCTCTCATGCGCTCCTCCATGGCCCGCCGCAGTTCATCGTCTGCTAGGCGTCCACCTGTGCCGTTTGCTTGCTGAGTAGATTGGGTGGATTGCGTGGGGGGACCATCCATCGTGATGACACCGTTGCGTATCGTACCCATCTGGAATGTACCGTCCATCCAAGCAGGGTGTGACGAGCTCGCCGCAGTAGTCGACGAGCCACCGCCGCCACCACCGTTGGTCGCCGGCGCACCCTGACGTCCAGAGGCAATCCTATCCTCCTCCGCAGCCGCCGCACCAAGCCCGTTAGTCGCTGGGATCCCATTCCCATTAACACCGTTCGCGCCGGCGACCGACTCGCTCGTGATCCCCCTCCGATCCGCCGCCCCCTGGCCCGCCTCCTCCTCCTCGACCTCCTCTTTACTCTTGAACTCGTTCCACGAGTGTCCCCTGCCCTCGACCTCGTCGCGGATAATCTGGACGCGCTCGCGCATGCGGGCGATGACGACGTCGTTTTCGCGAATGGCTTCGACGCAGGTCGGGTCCGGGCCGTGCCCCGCCGAGGCGTCGGTTGCCGAGTCGAGGGTGGTGGCGTCGCCTGCTGCGTAGGGGGCGAGCTGGGCGTTTGAGTATTCGAGGTGGAGGATGGAGTTGCGGATCTCGAGGGCTTTGAGGTGGAGGGTTGGGAGGGAGAGGTCGCGGAGGGCGGAGGCGAATTGGGTCGGGGATATTGGGCGGGTGTCTGCTGACATTTTGGGCGGTGTGTTGGTTTGGCGGGTCGGGAAGGTTGAGTAATTTGGTTTTGGCGAGAGGTATTCGGTTGTTTGCTGGCGAGTTTGCGACTTGGGTGTTTGGTCTCGTTGAGAAAGAGACTGAAGGTATCGGTGTGTGAACAAGAAAGGTGGATGAAGTTCTTGGGCAGTGGAAGAGACGGGAAGAAGGTGAAAGCGAATGAGAAACGACGCTGTTCACGAGTGGAGGATTGGACAGAAGGATGGACGGAGGGGGGACGATGACGATGTGCAGGCTTGGTGTTTGTAGAAGAAAGAGACGTCCTCCCAGGTAGATGCCGTGCAACGTCACCGCAGGTTTTCTGCCAGCTGTAGAGGTGAGGTAGCTTCCTTCCGAAGCTGCGCGCGGGGTGGGAAGGTGGTGGAAGGTGCAGTAGAAGGTTCCGGCGGTGGGGAATGAGCAGGGGGCGGTCAGGTACGGATACCTTGATGGAAAATGACGAAAGGGGGGAGTGCACTGGCAGGTAGGTAAGTTAGGTACTCCGTACCTTCCATTAGGTCTTACCGCCGACGGATTTATCCGCTCGCCTCGTTATCGATTACGTGCCTTAGTTTCTACGTGCTTACCAAAGCCCCGGGGATGGGCCGGAAACTGCTCTTCGCCGGCTGCCGCGGTCCCGATCCCCGTGGTCGGAACAGGTACCAAAGAATTTACGGGCTTCGATTGCGTCTTGGAGATTGAGCCACTGCGACAACGCCGCCCGCGCGCGACGACGACGAACGACCACCACCACTACCTCTACGAACCAGCGACAAAAGTGCGACGACAGCACTCACATTACGAGAGGTGGCATACGCCTACAGCATTTGCTAAAGGGAAACCTCTTCGTCGACAAGCAGCCGGCGCATTCATGAGTCTCTAGCTTTTTGGTGCGCTCCCGCGAAACGAGCAAAAAGAGACGGTTGCGTCGCCCACCCAGGGCGGCTCTAGGAAGCCATGAACGCCTCATTCGGCCTCGTTTCCTCGAGATCGTTCCTACACCTCGGCCTGCGCGCCGCGTGCCGTTCCGCGCCGAATACGACGAGCTGTTCGCCCGCGTCACGACTTCTTTCAATATGCACCATCACCTCCTGGCAGACGCCCGCCGCTACCCGGACGTACATATCGGGCCCCTCGCCCCTCCGCCGAAGACAATGGCCGTCGCTCAGCCTCGCCGCCACAACGGCCGGTAAATCAACACAAAGATGGGCTTCCTCCTCCTCCGCATCATCATCATCACCACCCAAAACCGACTACAAGAACGAACCCCTGCTCCGCGAATACGTAGACCTCCCGCTCGACTACAAGGACAAACACGGCCTGCGGTTCAGGGAAGAGAACAAGGACCTCTCGGCGGCAGAAGTCAGAGCCGTCTTCGGCGCCTCCCTCAAGCCCGCCGCCGCGAACCGGCTGCTGCGCATCATGCACGGCCGCCGCGTCGCCGGCACCCTCGAGGACCCCGCCTTCGCCATCAACACCGCCGCCTTCACCGCGCAGCAGCGCGACGCCGCGCTGGCGTACCTCCGTGAGGAGACGCCCGTCGACGAGGTCCTCAACGCGGGACTCCGGGCCGAGGACGAGCTTGCCGCGCTGGAGAAGGACCTCGCGGAGGAGGAGAGCAGTGCCGACGAGGGTGATGCTGCCTCGTCGACCGCCGGTTCTAAGACACCGTCCCTCCGCAAAGAAACGCCCGTCGTCAAACCAGACCCCGTATACGGCTACAGCGCCTTCGACGCCATCCGCGCAAAGAACCAAGCCAAAGCCGCCGAGGAAGAGGCCCGGCTCATCGCCGAGGCCGAGGCAAAGGGCATCGAGTACAACCCGGGCACGCTCTCCATCCCCATCAAGCGCCCGCCCATGACGCCGCGCATGGCGAAGTGGACGGAACAAGGCGCCGCCTCGGACCTCGCCGCTCCGCCCCCCCTCACGTTCGCCGAGCGCATTCTCCCCTCCGCGGCCGTCGTCTTATTGCTCGTGGCTTCGCTGGCGGCGTTCGCGGCGGTCTACACCCCGCCCCGCGACGCCGACCGCCTGTTCCCCGAGGTGAGCGCCTCGACGGCAACGGTGGGCGCGCTGATCGCGCTCAACGTCCTCGTCTCGGTCGCGTGGCGCGTGCCGCCGCTGTGGCGGTTCCTGAACCGGTATTTCGTGCTCGTGCACGGCATGCCGCGGGCCGTGACGATGATTACGGCGAATTTCTCACACAGCTCCCTGGGCCATCTGGCGACGAACATGGTGGGGCTGTGGTTCATGGGCACCGCTTTGCACGACGAGGTCGGGCGGGCGAACTTCCTGGCGATTTACCTCGCCTCCGGCGCCGTCGGGTTCCTGGGCAGCTTGACGGCGTTTACGCTCCGCGGCTTGTTGACCGTCTCGACTGTGGGTGCGTCGGGCGCCGTGTTTGGCGTCGCGACGGCGTACTTTTGGATGCACCGGTTCGATTCGTTCAAGGTGCTGGGCTTCCCGCCGGATCCGATGAATGGGCCCCAAGGGTTGGGGTTCATTGCGCTGATTTTGGGTTTCCATATTTATGCGTTTTTCAGGCGGGGCAAGCAGACGATTGATCTGACGTCGCATCTGTTTGGTATGCTGGCCGGGTTGGTCGGGATTGAGTTCGTGACGGGACGGAAGGCGGAGGGGGCGAGGGCGGATGGGTTGGAGAAGAAGAAGGCGAGGGGTGATCTTGTTGCTGATGCGCCGCCTCGCGATGGACAGGGTGACGGCGGGAATGATGTCAAGGCTTAAGAGAGAGTCAGGAGATACGTCTAGATGTTCTGCTCTCCGAGGAGGAACGGGAGGGTGAATTGTGTATAGTTACAGTCCTTTGTAGAACTCCTGGGATATTAGATGGTTGACCCCTATTATCACCCCCTTTGTTGGGATATTCGAATTTTGTAAATTTGCATCTCGCTCGCAGACGAGTAGAGGGAACGTTCTTCTCGGGGTCTGAAAAGAGACTAGATTTTTGTGTTGAGATCATGACAATGTTATGCAGGTAGCCAACCTATTTCTATTTTAGATGGCCTGTTTCCCGACCCCATATGTCGGTCCAGTGTGTTGATGATTCCCAGCGTCATACTATCTTACAAAACTAAATCAAGTCCACGCCATGTTGTACAGTCGTTTTTGTCCTTCTTACAAGAGGAGAGTCCTCTCTAGGTGATGTTACAGGTTTTACAGGGTTGCACTGCCCGAGGCAATCAAGCAGGCATAGGAGTAGCCGCCGCCGCATCCCGAGCAGGCGTAGCATCCTTCTTAGCTGCCTTCTTCTTGTCGACCCGTCGTCGTCCCACAGGCTGACACCAAATCTGCATCGTCACGACATTGATGTCGGCAATCTCGACATCAATCACATCGTCAGCCTGCACGTCCGCGAGCCTACTATAGCCCTCCAGCCTAATCAGGTCCACAGAGGCGCCCAGGTTGTAGAAGGTGCTCAGCCTGCCCCTCAGTCCAAACGCGTAGACAGCATCAACGACGAATTTGAACGTCTTTGGCAGCGGCGCCTCGCCGAAGCGCCACGCGCGCAGTAGTGCCTGCGCCACCCAGTGCGTCGGGGCGTTCTTGTTGTCGACCTGCTTGATCTGGCGCTGGAGGGCGTGGAGCATCGGCAGCGCGTCGGAGAGGGAGCGGTGCGTCCAGGGAAGGATGGCGGCAGCATTCTCGTCGGACAAGAGCTCCTCGCCGACGAGGGAGCGGCCCGTCTTGCGCTCGTGGGCGAGGGCGGCGTGGATCTGCCAGTGGACGACGAGGTCGTTGAAGCGGCGGATGGGACTGGTCGACTTTGCGTAAGCGTCGACGCCGACGGCGTAAAAGGGCGCCGGGCTGACCGAGAGCTCCGAGTTGCCGACGTAGACGAGGAGCCGGTGGATGTGCTCCGCGGGGATGGGTTTGCCTTCCGCCGACAGGGGGTCGATGTGCTCACGGCGGTAAGAGGCGAGACCCTTTGCGTTTGTGACCGCGTCCGGCTGAGTGCTGTAGGGGACGGGGATGGCGCGGGCCTGGCACCACTTTGCGGCGACCTCGCCAGCCGTGTGCATGAGAGTCTCGACGAGGCGGTCGGCCTTGCTGTACGTGGACGTGTTGAACTCGATGAACGGATCACCCTGCCACGCCATCGACCTGGTCAGGTCATCGGCGTCGCCTTTGACGATGATATGGTTGAGAGACACCTTGGGGGAGTCGAACCTGGTCTCGAAAGGCGGCAGCTGTCCCTTCTCCACGCGGCGGTGCTTAAGGGCTTTGCACAGGCGATTGATGAGGAGAAGGTCATCCCTATCTTCCGGGGACAAATCCGCCGCAGTAGTGATACGCTTCACAGGCTTGGGCGGCGGGGGCGGCTTGCCCACGACAAAGGTCTTGCTGACGGTCTGTGTTTCAAGACCGGGCAGGATACCGGTGACTTCATGCTTGGGGATGTGCAAGATATTTTGCACAGTGCCTGGTTCGACCTTGTAATCCAGGATGTTTCCTATCTCGTTGACTCTGGCGCTGAACGTCAAAGACGGTCGGCCGGGGTTCAGCGAGAACTCCCGCTCGAGCTCCCGCGGCAGCATCTTTTGGTTGTACCCAGGCATGTACAAACTCGATGGCGCCTTTTCAAGTTGACGAGCGAGCGCGGACTTGGGGTCGATACGGGAGGCGGGGTCGGCAATGTGAATGTGAATCCAATATTCCCCCGGCTTCTCGGCCGCCTCGACAGAGAAGCCGTCATCCACATCGGCCGTCTGCTCAGGGTCCACACAAAAGATTGTCGTCTTTCCCCAGTCTCGCCTGTGACCCTCAGCGATATCAGGTCGGAGTGATTCGTTGACGTCCACGAGGGGTGTCTCCATGGTGGCGCCTCGCTGGACCGTAGTGCCCGCGAGCTTGTACTCGTAACGAGCTGGAATATCCCAGGGTGGAATCCAGCCAATCTCCTGAAGGAAAGTGAAGGCTGTCCAGTGCGCCACCCACTCAGAATCCTTGTAGCAGTCCGTCAGCTTGAGAATGGTGGAGCCCAGACTCTCGAGCTGTGATGGCTTCGGCACAATGCGATGGCACGCCCACAGCTCCATGAAGCGGATGTATTCGAGATCCTGCTTGCTCCATGTCGCGAGATTTGCCACCTCGTCGTTGCTGGGTCCGATCATGCCATGGGGCGTCCACTCTCGCCTCAGCCGGCTCGCCTGGATGACCCCACGGGCCTTGAGGATAAAAGAACCGAGACTATTCTGGCGGAGGAGGGAGAGGGATTGCGCCGGGTTTTCGCGCAGCGCGGCGCCCTCCACCAGTTCGCGGACCTGGTTCTCAACCTTGTTCAAAAGTTTGAGGTCGGATATGGACCTGACCTCGTAGATGTAGTTGCGCCGATGCCACTTCATATTGAGCGGGCGGAACCCCCATCCATCGCGAGTCAGGGCGGTATGCACAGCATACAGCTGATGAGGGAGGAACATGTCGCCCGCCTTTACGTGCTGAGGCAGAAGCTTATCCGCGATCTCCTCGAGGCTGAGGTACTGCCGCTCGTCCGTGGCCAAGTGTTTGCTCGCGAGGTCCAGGGTGAGCTGGGACTGGTAGAACGAGACGGAGTCCTGGTAGAATTTGATCAAGTCTCTCTGCAAATCGGCGGCGGTCTTGAGAGCGGCCGGCGTATGGTTGTGAAACAGCGCGTTGCGCCGCTCCTCCGTTTCGGGTTCCGCAGGCAAAATATCGGCAAGGGGCTTGAGTCTGTACGGGTCGATAAAGTTTTTGAGGATGAAGAGGGTGACAATATTGCGCTCTGGGACGAGTTCACCGGTGCTCATGTAAAAGTACTGTGAATTGTTGTGACGGCCAATACAGACCGCCAGGATGGGCAAGCGGCCGCTGTTGTATCTTGTCTCGACCAGGTCACCGGGTTTGAGAGCGAACGTAGATCCTCGCAGGTCCTGGAGATCATCGCTTTTGGACAAGTCGCGGTTTGTCTTGGTCTTGTCGTGCAGCTCGCCCTCTCGACCATTCATGAGTCCCAAAGCGCCAGGGAGCAGGTCAGGTCTGGTGAGGTAGTTCAACAGCGGCGTGTCCTGCGCGGGTAGGTCTTGAAGCAGACGCTTTGAGGGTGAGTAATTTGCGCTCTCCCATTCTCGGAGCCGCATTCTGATGTCCGACTTTTGGCGAATGTATTTCAATTCTTCTTTCGTGGCTGTGGTCGTAGGCTTGCGATACCCACCTCTGCCATTGCCATAGTTTCCACCACGAGCGTTTCCGCCCTGGTGGTCATAGTTCCCGCGATGATTACCGCCCTGATTGCCGCTGTAGTAGGACCTTCTACCCGCATATGACTGTAGATGAGTTCAGTGAGACTGAAAGATCCTGAGAAACATTTCATGAGGAAGCCCTCATCGTGAGTAAGACGTACCCTTCTGGACTCTGTGGATGAGCCTGTCCCCAGCTGCTGGAGTGTTAGGGTGGATGGCAAGCCGCTGGCGACTGATGATGATGACGGCCTAGATGAAAGACATCTCCAGCACACATATGGTCTGCCCGAGTTTCGCAACATTGCGGGCAATATTATGGCAATGCTGTGAGGGCATAGTGTTGAGCGACGTCCCTCGCCACGACGTTCTGTTGCGGCGGCTCACCCAAAATTTCTGGTCCGCGCCACGAGGTGTCCACTTTTCGATCCACTTTCGCGCTATCACGTGACCGATATCTCATAGCACATAGAGAAGGCACCTTCAACTTGGTCTTCATTTAGCTTTGAAGAGTAAATTAAAGTAAGGTAAGTAACCCTAGCATGAACTATGAGTATTATCAACACATTAACGACGCTTTGGATCATAGAGAACCTGGAAGTTCAACTTGAACAAACATGAACAAGTAAAACACCAGATGTCAATGGCGCAACGCACCGTCTCGTGGGCATAGATCAGTAAAGGATATCGTCTTGTGGGGAATAGTGAGTTTATGCCCTTCATCGATAGTGACAGCAGTTTTGGGAAGCTGTTGGCAGAGGACATTCGGCATGGTCAGTGGATCCCTTCATAAACGGTATGCCCAAATGAGTAGTGGATCCCACCGATGGCTGTCTTCCGGCGCCGGTACCGGGATGCCCCACATCGGTACTTTCTCATCCGGTCATTTCATCCGGAGTGAGGCGGCATACTTGTGTTGCCTTGCCATGTTTGCGCTATTGTCTTTTTAACGACGAATTCATGCAGCGACGGTAGATTTACACAATTCAGTCTTTGTCTCTCTGACTCATCGAAGAATCTAGGGATTGCCGTCCACCCGCGAGATCAACATTGGTCTAGGTCCTGACACAAAAGCTTAGAAACGGGGCCCTACGGAGTACATGCAGCTCACCATGTCCTTCTCGCCGTCCATTTCCATCCGTCTCGCCCACACGCAGGGTAGGTAGGTTTACATTTTAGAAACTTGTACACAGCAGTGAGATCATCCTCCGAAAGTCCCTTTCATCGAACAATGTTTCAACCCGCAAAACTCCACATTACTCAAATCCTCGCCTGTTTCGATTTCCAAATCTCAACCCCCCACCTACCCACGAACCCCGAAACACATGAAGCCAGCAAGAAACAAAAACCGGAGAATCGTCGGAGAGGCGCACGTGGCCGGCTCATATGATTTACACATACAATAAGCATGTATTTCGGGTGTCCAAGCTGGACATTCAAATTTCGTCCAAAATCCATCCCTCATAAGGTACCTACCTACCTTAGGTAGTACGCTATGACTTCTTTCCTCAATCCTCGGCCCGAGCTCTCGTCTCAAAAGCTGCAGCAAAAAGCAACGTTATTTTCACCCAGTCTCTACGTACCGGGCACGTAGGTATCCGTTCAGCAGGGCCCTCGCTTTCTTCCTTGCTTTCTTCTTCATCTGAACCATTCGACGCGCTTGCACATAGTTTGCAAGGAATGGCTTCCCCCATCGGCTTGCACCTTCCTAACCACGAGATGAAGCCTGAACATCTAATCCCCTTCAAAAACGTCTTCTAGTGCCAAAAGCGTCTCTGAACTAATAATCAAGATTATGAGTTTATCAAACGGTGTTTCTAGCTTCGGCCATGGAGCTCACTCAATCTCCCCCCTCCCGCTACTTTCCCAAATAAGGAAACAGAGCCCAAGATGTGAAGAAAAGTGCCGAGACAAGACAACATACCTAGTAGGGGGGCCTAACACAAACGCCCACCACGAACGGGTTTCAAGCCTCCACCTCCCGCGCCAATCCCAACTTTACAAGAACCAGTGGGCGGGCTGACTCTGTGGCTCCGTGGCTGATCACCCAAATGGTATTCCCCCGCGGGAAATTTCACTCAAGGCGGGAAGGGGTGAAAGAGGTCTCAACGGAACACAACCTTCCCGAAGCCACCCTTTCCCCTCCTTGGAAAACGCAAACACGCCATGGTTTATTTCCAGAGAGTACGGAGTACGGAGTAGGCAGGGAAGACTTTGACATCATGCCATCCCGCGCGTGCTAGAGACCCAACGACAACACCATAGCCATATCAATGATACCATCCCTTTGCGCACAGTCCCCTCTCTCTGCCTGCCGCTTCCCTCTCCCCCTCCCTCTGACCAGCCTTTCCATATACGCGGTACGAAAGCACAAACCCCCCATTCACGCACATCGTCCATCTATCCGTACCACGGTATCCGACATCAAGGACGGCACTAACGTAGTGTGAAAAAAAATTGCCCCCGCCCCCTCTCTCCCGTAAACGTTTTTCCAATGAATGTTTGTAGCAATGATTGAAGCAAGGGACCAGACTAGAGAGGAAGAACCAGGGAAGGACAAGACAAAAAAAAAGGATCCGAGCGGCTCGCCATGACAACAAAGTGACCCCAGGGTTCATCCCATCATGAATCAACCACACTGACAACTTCAAAGTGCCAAGACGTCCAAACTCTTCCGTCAAAGTTCAATCCCGTTCCAAGTCTCCGGGGCCCCTTCAAAGTTCTGGAATCAATGTTCCAAAATGAAAATGGGCTGCTTGCCTTATCCTGCGTATCACTACGTCTGGTAATGAACTTCAGGTACCCTGTTATCAAGGAAAATCCAGACCTCGGCACTCCGTTCCAAAACATGCAATCCATATCACCACTATTCCCTGCTACGCCAGCCTACGCAGTAACCGCCTGTTTCGTTTCAAATGTCCCTATAACAACCACCATATTACTGTAATCCAAACCTCGGAACATCCGACGAAGGAAGGGAAGGAGGGGGTCCGACCGTTAGTAGGGCTTAAAAGCTAGTTGGCTATCAACCAGGTTCCTGGGTCAAGTCAGACTCTTGTCAGAGGCTCAGAGCCACGTTGACTGTTCACATAATCCGTATTCCCTAGGTACTACGTTTCCTACTCTACTCGATAGTGTACCAACCTTCACTCCGCAGTCATGATCTAGACGATCCATCAATCTGGTTCGAGACTCGTCCACTGTGCCGGTTGAGTGCTTATCATGGCCGTCAGAGTGACTGACACTTGGCACCTAGTCCCCCCTTCATGCGTGCCGTGCTCACAGTAGGTAACACTGCATCCCCTCCCTTTCTGTGACACAAGGTGCATGTCACCAATGCAGCCCATCACTCCCTCGTGGCCATGCACCCACCACATGGGGAATCACTGGAGAGTTTGAGCGGACGTCGATTCTTTATGATTTCTTTTTTTAATTGATTTGGCCTATTCTGTTGACGCTTTGCGCGTGAGTGCCTCCTCCCTTCTCCTCCCACTTGACGATGCTACCCTATGCAACTCCTTGCTTTCCCCCCCCCCCCCCCCCCCCTCCTCCCTATACTCCCTCCCTCTCCTACCTCCCTCCCCCCCCCCACCCCCCCCCCCTCACATCACCTCGTTCCCACGACAAGGGGAGAGTAACACAGCCCTTGCGCCTCTTCCCACCCCACTCGCCCACCTCACCCCCCCTTCTTTCCCCCCCCCCCCCCCCTTTTTAGGTAAAAGATCTGCCATCTCTCTAGACCTTTCCCTCCTCCAACGTATCCGTAATACTGAGTCAAATGTGACAGGCGGAAAGGGCGGTTAAAGGCCCTGATTCCTCTCCGACTACCACATTTCCCCTTCCCCCCGGCCCCCATATGCTTCTTCTAACAGTGACTCCCAGCTCTAATACAATTACCCCAGAAAAGGTCGCTTTGGAAGAATTTTGTTGAGATAGGAAATAATAGACACTATGGAATTTCGGCAGTATACAGATTGAATGGGGGTATAAGAAACAGTGCTGTTTTCTAAGTTCATTATGCAGGTGTTGTTGTTTGCAATCTTGCTGCCTGTGTCTAACGGGCGTTTGGTAAGATTTGCGATTCGAGAGCATCGGGTCCGAGCATGGTCGAAAGGAATGGTGAGCGCTATGCCGGTCCTCGGCGGACCTTATTCCAAAAGCGCTTCATGACGCCTCGGTCGTTGGCCTGAGCGTTTTCCTGGTCCATGGCCGCGAACTGACGTTCTATGCTCTCCTTTGACGACGCATCTCGGACGTACGTCGACGTCGGAAATTCGTCTCGTAGGCCGTTCGATTGGGATTTCCTGGGCGGTAATGGCTTCTGTTGCCAGCCGTACATTTGATCTTCGTGGGCTCGGAGGTCGGGTCGGGTGAGGGTCATGCGCAGTGTCATTTCTCTCGACTCTGCCGGCATCCGTGCGTATTCCGTCGATGGTTTGGGTGAATGAAGCTGATCATTTTTGATGGGCGGCGGCCGAAGCGCTGTCATCTCCACTGTATGGGGTGTCTTGGGAGAATCCGAATCAAGGGATCCATCATCGCTGAAGATCGACGACCGATCGTCGGCGAGAAAGGTGCGGAGATTTTCTGACTCGTCCACCAACGCTGCCCTAGATTGTCGATGTTTCAATGGCTTGACGTCCTTGCTAGGCTTGGTGGTGATCATGGCTTCTTTTGAAGGAAACCCGAACTCGATGGCTTCGTCAAACTTTTGAGGGGAGGCCAGATATACTCGCAGCTTCAGCCGGGCCTCGGGATCTTGGTAGTGTGCAGCCTCCGGATCAAAGGCAGCTACAGTGTCCTGGGGGCTATGCTTTGGTGAAATCAGAGACAGCGCCCGTGATCTTCGCCGGCCGTGTCCCGGAGAGCTTGTCTGAGGGCTGACTGGAGAACTCGAAAACAATGGGGTCGTGGGATGGCTTGCGCCGGCGGGTGTCGTACCGGGGCGGTTGGTGGAGAGCGAGTTGCGGCCGAACGGTATCTTTGATATGGACAGGTGCCTACGAAACGACGGCCTGCGCTGTTTCGAGTTGGCTGGTAGATCCTCTCGCAAATTGGCGTGGTAATCGTCGAGATGTAAACGCAGGTCTAGGTCGTCATCCTCCTCCAACCAACGGAAGCTGTCATAAAAGGAGTCCCGCTTCTTCTGAGCTTCAGGGGACTTCTTCTCTTCCAACTTGGGCATTTGTTTCCTCGTATCTTGGCTCGGCCGCCGAGACTCCATCGTCGAAGGTCTCACCGATAGAGTCGGACTCCACAACTCGTCTTGAACAATTAGGCTAGAGGCTCGTCTTCGAACTTTGTA